GTTAAACCCAGATCTGGTTCAGAGTTAGAACCAGATCTGGTTCAGAGTTAGACCCAGTTTGGGTTTAGAGTTAGACCCAGATCTGGTTCAGAGTTAGACCCAGTTCAGGTTTAGAGTTAGACCCAGATTTGGTTTAAAGTTAGACCCAGTTCTAGTTTAGAGTTAGACTCAGATCTGGTTTAGATTTAGACCCAGATCTGGTTCAGAGTTAGACCCAGTTCGGGTTTAGAGTTAGACCCAGATCTGATTCAGAGTTCGTCTCTGAACAAGATCTGATTCTCTACAGATTTTTAAATGTTTCCTGATCAGCTCTGATCAGTTCTCTGGTCTTGATATTAGAACCTGGTCCATCAGGGTCTGGAGGTGGATCATTAAACACCCAGAACCAGTGAGCTATGTACATTCAACAGAGAATGATTAAAACCTGATGTTCAGCCTGGACCTGTCTAGTTCTGAACCTGCACCTGTCAAGTTCTTAACCTGGACCTGTCTAGTTCTGAACCTGGACCTGTCTAGTTTTGAACCGGACCTGTCTAGTTCTGAACCTGGACCTGTCTGCTTCTGAACATGGACCTGTCAAGTTCTTAGCCTGGACCTGTATAGTTCTGAACCTAGACCTGTCTACTTCTGAACCTGGACCTGTCTACCTRTGATCCTGGACCTGCCTAGTTCTGAACCTGGACCTGTCTACGTCTGAATCATGACCTGTCAAGTTCTTAACCTGGACCTGTCAAGTTCTTAACCTGGACCTGTCTAGTTCTGAACCTGAACCTGTCTACCTCTGAACCTGGACCTGTCTACCTCTGAACAAGGACCTATCTACCTCTGAACAAAGACCTGTCTACCTCTGAACCTGAACCTGTCTACCTCTGACCCTGGACCGTCTCATTGTTCCTGAAGACCTGCTCTGTTGACTCACGCTGAGGATCTGGTCTCCCTTGCGGAGCTCCCCGCTCAGGTCTGCTGGACCTCCTGCGAGGATGAAGGAGATGAAGATCCCCTCTCCGTCCTCTCCTCCAACAATATTGAAGCCCAGACCTGTGGACCCCCTCTGGACACATACTCTGCGTGGTTCTCTGGAGTACTCATCCTCTCCCATCATGCCTCGGGGTACAGGTGAGTACCGGCGTGGAGATGGAGGAGGGAGGGCTTGTGGGTAATCACACATGTAGTCCGGCTCCATGTAGGCTGCAGAGACGACACATAGACTCTGAGGAACAGGACTCTGGACTACTGGTCCTGACAGAACCTGGTCTCAGGTCTACATACAGCTGGTCAGGTCAGGAGGACTGTATCGGTCTACTTGATGGATGTAGTGCGAGTTGGGCGTGGCCACCTTCAGGTAGACCACCTCTCCTGTGTTCTTCAGGGCCGCCACAGCATCTTCATGTAGGACGTCCTCCAGAGACATGTGGTTCACCTGCAGAAACCAGATCTAAAGTTAGACTAGAGTCCAGAGACATGTGGTTCACCTGCAGAGATCAGATCTAAAGTTAGACTAGAGTCCAGACACATGTGGTTCGCCTGCAGAGACCAGACCTAAAGTTAAACCAGAGCCCAGAGACATGTGATCCACCTGCAGAGACCAAATGTATAGTTAAACCAGAACCCAGAGACACGTGATCCACCTGCAGAGACCAGATCTAAGGCAAACCAGAACCCAGAGACACTGATTTGATTTGATTTGAT